TCTGTGTTCTAAAGCCAGTCTTCCTGGGGTCAAATGCTGGCTCTGATACTGACCAGCTGTGAGATCTTAGGAAAGTAACCTGAATTCTAAGTGCCTCAGATTATTGTTCTATAATAATAATATTGCTTGTTTCATAGGGCCTTTAGGAGGATTACTGAGTTAATATTTATATTATGTTTATGCCATTTATTATGGAACTGTACCCTGGTATATAGGAAGTGTCATATAAATGATTAGATAAAATGGTACTCAGTTTCTAGGGAGAAAGTCAAATGATAAACAAGTCCGGTCAAGGGGACAAACACCAAGCAAACCATTTACAATATAAACACACTTATTTCTGCCAGTGGCAGGCTAGGTTATGTAGACAAATTCTCTTGTTGAAAATAATTTAAAAAAGAATTTCCTTTTTGGTAGTCTCCTGGAGCAAAAGGAACAGAATTATGAGCCTAGGATTCACCCAAAGTAGAAAGATTAATGGAAGATTCACCCTCATTAAGTCTTAATGACTTTCACATAGGAAATATATACTATGTCCATCTCCTCCACAGGCCTGCATGGCACAGAAAAGACCTGGGGACAGAAAAGCAAACAATTAATGGACCTGTCCCAAGGAGGCTATAACTATAGGCTAGTTCTCACACAGATCTATTGTTTTCATTTGACCTTCATTCTCAAACCTTAAACTCGAAATGTTCCAGCCTGGTATCCCCCTAAGTTCTTGAAGATCCTTTCTAGAGAAAGTCGCTTTTATCTTAGGACTTAAAATGTCCCTACAAATAATGTTTTGAGGAAAGAGAAACACACAATGATATCCAAGAAATAAGACCCTTTAAGTGGGAACTGGCAGAAAAGACAAAAAAAATAGCCCTTCAAAGACCAGATTTTTGAGTTATCAGAGATTATAAAACTACTATGTTTATTGTGTTTAAAGAAGAAAACACAAGTTTGAAAATACCTCTGTGGAATAGAAAATGATAGTGACATAAATACTTTAAATAGAACAAAAAAAAAACCCTAAATAGAACATTTTGAAAAGAAATAGACTATGTAAAGAGAGAGAGGTAATGGCATTCAGATATAGCAGAAAAGAGAACTCATGAATTGCCATGCAGATCAAAAGAAATTCCCTTCCCAGCATATCCAGGGCTTTTGGTCCCAAGAAGCATTTGAAGAGTAGTTCAAAACATTGGATGCTGGATACATTGATGAATGTGTTTGGTCCTTGTTCATCTAGTACTCCCCACCAACTGAAAGAATGTCTGCCTGTCATCATTTTCCTAAAGAATAGACTTAAGTATGCTCTGGCAGCAGACAAAATCAAGAATGATTGCGTGCAGTACTTCATTAAGATCGATGGCAGTCCAAACTCATATAACCTGCCCAGTGGCTTTATGGATGTCATTAGCATTGACAAGACCAGAGAGAATTTTCATCTGATCTATGACACCAAAGGTCACTTGGCCCTTCATTGTGTTATACCTGAGGAACCCAAGTACTTGACTAAAAATAATATGGCATGATTAATTGCTAAAGAAGGAATTATCCATAACGCATCACAGAGGGCAAAACATGGAAAATATGGGGTAAATTAGGAGGCAGGGTTGGATAGACTAGAATATGTATAAAATATTTAAATGGGTGAAGTACTACTCTGCCATAAAGAAAGATAAACTGAGGCATTTGTAGGAAAATGGATGCACCTTAAGATCATAATGTTAAGTGAAGTAAATGAGACACACAAGCTTGAACATTGCATGGTTTCTCTTACATGAAAAAGTTAATACATAAAGTATGGAATAAAAGACAGATAATAGGAGGAAGAGAGAAAGTTATTATATTCTAAGTATGTTTCTAGTTTTACTCCAACATGATATGAGAGCTCACTTTGTAGGATTTCCATTTCTTTGGTATGTTGAGGTCTTTATTGTTGCTGTGAGCATGATCTACTTTGAATATTAATTAATTAATTTCAGAGTGGAAAAATCTATGAAGATAGTAGCTCAGTTGTTGCCTAGATTTAGGGGGAAGGATTGGGAGATGATAGCTACTATGTAGAGTGCCTGGTTTGGGGATTTAAAAAATTTTCAGATTGGTCCAAAAAAATATGACAATGCAACTTTCTTTTTTGTGGCATGTCTTCTATTAAGTCTATAGCAAGAAGGAAAGTGTCTGCCTACAAGGAACTGAAACCTGTGTTTAAGTCAGCAGTTAAATCATGGAGATATGTATTATCTCACTGAACCAGAAGTCTGAAAGTAGGTGGTTCCAGTTATCATCCAGGACAGAGATATTTTCCATACTCCCATGCCATAATCCTTGGGGTGTTGCCTTTTATTCTCATGCCTGTAAACTCACTGTTGTGTATGTGTAATGGCTGCTGCAACACCAGACCTCACATCCTTCCACTGTGCTTAAATGTAAGAATCAAGTATGTGGCAAAAGATGCTCTTCTCTCAGAAGTCTCTGCCTTTTATTTGAGGAATGAAGTATTTTCTGAAGTCTTCCTCACAGTCCATGAGCCAAAACCCAATTACGTAGCCACTCCTATTTGCAGGGAAAGTTGTGAGAGTCTCTTTTTTAAGCCTCTACTTAAACTCACTCTCCTCTTCTGTGTGAATTAAATGAAATAATACCCTTTTAATTATCTCAAGTGTTCCCATCAGAATATACCACCTGAACTATTCCAACAGCTTAGGTCTCTCTGCCGGCCCATCATGCTCTCTATCATCTACTCTCTCTACCAGCTGCAGTGCTTTTTAAATGCAAATCTCATCCTGTGGCCCCTCTTCCACTGGGTTTGCCTGAAGGATCCGGTTACACCCAGCTTTGCAGCCTCATCTCCCATAGCACTCAGCTGCCACCAACCTGCTCAGGGCACCTTGAGAAGTTCCTGCACATCCCAGGACTCTTGCACATACTGGTCCTTCTAGAATTCTCACTCATCCTCACTTCACCTCAGGTCTTCTCTGTTTTATTTCTCTGATTGAATGTAATCACTGCATGGAAGGGTTATTCATAAGGGATTGTTATTCAATCCATGAAACATGACAAGAACATTCTAAGAGCCTGACTATAAATGGGGTGGGGTAAAAGAATCAGGTTTTTATTACAGCAGTTAAGAAAATGTTCACTCCTTTGTTATAATTGTACTAGACAAGGAGCTGCAGCAGGAAACTCTGTAAGATTCCCAGACAGACCACTCTAACACACGAAAAAGGAGAAAATCTGCTTTTAATACTGCCTGTGGCTCAGCAAGTGAGTCCTGTCAGTCTCCAGAGCCCCAAAGCTTAATTCCATTGGAGTTTCCCTGGGAATATAGCAAGCAGGATTTACACAAAGCAGAGCAGCAGAGGTGGGGAGGGCTGAGAGTTCTGGCAGGACTTTCTGAGTCCATTCCGTTCCTTTGGCAACAGATTACAGAAGTTGTCATGGCTATTCAGGTGCATTCTACCCAATTAACCATAGTTGTCCAACAACACAGTTAACCCGTAGTTAACCCACAGTTGTCCAATTCCATACAGAGGGGTAGTCTCCTCTCTCAGTGCCACTTGGCAATACTAATTTCTTTTTCAAAATGTCTTCATTCTTTCACTCCTGTGGCCAACCAGCTCCATAGCTTCCTGTTGGTGACTGCACCTTAGAAGAGGGTTTTCCCTACAACTCAATTTCTTAATCTGGAAGTGATGTGTTACACTGAATTTTTCTATACTCCCCTCAAAGTTGATGATCTTTGTTCAGTCCCAGTGTTAGAATTAAACATTTACACTTTAAAACTTATCCCAAGATATACATGAAAATGTATCAGTTTCAAATATCCTCTGCCATGCAGTCATAAAAATGCAAAGAAATATCTTTCTCTTCTTTCACATATTGAAATGCTCTATAAAAATTTCTTTCTACTAATTCTATATTACAAATTTTTGTTTGTTGTTTGTTTTCATTTTATTGTTGTTTTCGTGGTGCTAGGGATTGAACCTAGAGCCTTCGAATAGTCTCAAGTGCTCTACCACTGATGTACCCTGCCACCCCAGCCCTTTTAAAATTTTGAGAGAGGGTCTTCCTAAATTGTCCAGGCTGGCCTGGAACTCAAAATCCTCCTGCCTGAGCCTCCCAGGTAGCTAGGATTACAGACATGGCCTCTTTTTTTCACTACTTTTATATTGCAGAAAGTCCCATCAGTGGCTCCCTACACAGTCCAGCCTTAGGCTTATGTGTAGATGAGCTCAAGAACATCCTAATCATTCTTTGAAAAAGAAGAGCACCCTGCAAGAAGAGGCAGGCTGCAGCTCTGTCTTCCCTAGCAAAGCACATCCTATGTTCAAAACTTTCTGTCAAACTAGCAAAAACCGCTGATATGTGACCAGGAGCAAAAGGAGCCTATGGTTGGCACTGTTCATCTGCTCACTCCTCCTGGTGGCCCAGGGCCATGTTTATACTTTTCTTGTGTGGGGGGTTGGGGCGGGAGTCCATGAATTTCCAGACCTGAAAAAAAGGATCCTCAGACATTTTAAGAGCCCCCGACCAATAGGCTGCGACTTAACGTGCTGGTTAAGCCCACAGAAGCTGAAGTCATACTTCGTGGGTCACACGATGCTGTGCCCGCCGCCACCGCGAGCAACCGCAACCGTTTGACTTTCTCTTACGAGGGTGTCGTCGCCTGTCAAGTGAGGATAATAATAGCACCTGCTTGCGAGGGTTGGTGTGAGGCCTGAACGAGTTCACACATAGTAAGCACTTGGAACAGCGCCTGGTTAGCAAAAGCGAGCTGCTTAAAACTCACAACCTTTAAAATAAGTGCGCCTGAAACACTCCAACATTGCCCAAGTGTGAATCAGCTCCTGTGAGTTACAAAGCATGGGATCCCGGGACCCGGAGACAGGAGGAAAAGAACTCGGGATGTTGGCTGAGGGAGGGCTGTCATAGGGAGGGACCTTTGCTCCGGGGACGCTAGAGTCTCACAGTCTGGAGTCTTCACGGTTCCTTCCCAAGGACTCTGTCCCGCGAGCAGCGCAGCACTGCTTTCCTCCAATCAGACGTCTCAAGGCTGGCGCCACGTCTGCGGCCTGATCCAATCGCGTACCCAGAGGGCGGGAACCCGAAGTGGCTACCTGCACCTGTGGAGGCTGGTGGCGGCCTCCTGGGTCGCTACACACACACACACACACACACACACACACACACACACACACACCCGCACCCCTCTGCCGCTAGGTTCTGGTTTCTCCAATTACTTGGCGCAGGACCAGCAGGTGGGCAGATGTCTTTGCTCGTTCCTTCCCACGCGTAGGAAGGTTCAGTGCGCCCGAGAGAATAGCCATGGTCCCACCTCTCAGCGGCTCCCCAGAGGCGCTGGCAGGGGAGAGGGAAGCTTCTGAACCTGTGCGGCTGCTAACCGGGAAAGGCCGCCTGGGCTTTCTCCGGGGTCAGCGAATCTGACAGTCCCTCGGACCGAGCCCAACGCGCGGCGAGCCCGGGCTGTCTCCGCAGAGCGCAGAAGTTGGAGGGGCCGAGGGAGAGCAGCGCCCGGTGTAGCTGCGCTGCGGACCTTGCGACTGCTACACTCGCAGCAACCTGACCTCTCCCAGACCGCGCCGAGGGACAGCGCCCCAGTGGCAGAGTGCCCAGAGCGCGGCCCCCGTGCTGCTCTCGGCCACTAGCGCAGTGCGGGCCCGAGGCGTCTCGGGAAGCCCAAGCAGGTGAGCGCCCCGGGGTGGTTCTGCGTCTGACGAGACAGATCCTACCAAAGCTGTGTCACCCTGGGCTCATGCCCTGCGCCTCCCAATCCCCCGCCTCCTAGCGCGAGAGGACAGGCCCGGAGCCGCTGTTGCTCCAGAACTGAGCTCTGCCTAGTTTTGCGTAATTTGCAGTCTTTTCCTTGCGCAATTCGCACGAAGGCTTTCGTGCACACCAAATTGATAGTCGTGAAGAAGAAAGTACGGGAAAGGATAGAAAGCAGTATCCAGACAGCCCCCAGCACCATTAGTTAACACCTTGAGGGTACTTTTCGATTTGCAAAGTAGGACGCTATGTGGTATTTGCAAACCTGACTGCCCATTTTGCCTGAGGGTGTGGGTAGCTTTTGTACAGAAAGAACTTTTGGGCACTTTTTCTTTTATTGTTTTCAAATCCCGGCCCCAGTGTCCCTCCGGGCATCTCGGGGAGGAGCTGGTGTCACAGTTTCAGGGCACAGCTGTGGCCGCCGCGCCGCCTCGGGTAGGTACTGGGACTTCCTCTCCTCCTCGGAGTTCCGGGAGGACGACTTCCCACAGCAAACACAGCCGAAGTCTCCGTCTTCTGCGCACATGAGAGTCCCAGGAGCTCTGCGCGAGTGGGTGGGAAGGAGCTGAGCGGAAACCTGGAAATGAGCGGCTGCGCGGGCGAACGTTACGCATTCGCGGTAGTTCTGAGCTGTAGATGGTGCACGGAAGCGGGCAGGTAGTCTCACCTTCAGTATTCGCGCCTAAGTGCTAACAAGCAGCCTTTTTGCTCTTCGAACAGCTACTAAAAGCTCGGAGAAGAAACAAATTGTTTTGAAGATCCTTCTTGCCGCTCTCCCGTGTGGAGGGTGGAATTGCGCACGGAAAAGAACAGAAGTCTATAATATGTAAAATTCTTAAGCATTGAGTTGCGTAGTACAAACAGACTCAGAGCATATTTTAATCCCTAACTACGGGAAGAGGGGAGGAAGATCTGCCACTTGGCCTGGTCTCTGGAGTCGGCCGGAGCGGGGGCAGCCTTCCTAAAAACCACGGGATTGGTCTCTGAGAAATGAAAGAGCAGGATGGCGATTTTCGAGGGAAGTTAAGTCTAGACATGCTTCTCTGAAAGTCACAAGCAGAAGTGGTTAAAGGAGGATTTAAAAGAAGCAGAGCAAACAGAATACAGTTTGTATCTCATTCTTACAGGAATATGGATTCTGGGAAGAATCATATCAGAAAAGACCCTGCGGTGGGAGAGTACAGAGGAGAAATTCCGGGCGGGAAAATTGTATCTGTTTGTGGTTTAACATTCGTAGTTCACCGGTAGCGGGGACACACTTGGTTGTGAACACCCCACTCTCAGGGGCTCCTTGTTCTAGGACAGGTGGGTCACCTAAGGGCGTCCGTGTAGTCCGACAGTGTGGACCGGACAGACCATTTCCCCTGCAGAGCCAGGTTGGTCCGGATGGCGGGGACTTCCCCTTCACCGGCGCCCTTCGTGCTTCTCCCCGGAGCCTTAGGGCAAAGGTTCAGGCCGGGAATCTCCAGGCTTAGTTTTGAGATCAGGTGGCGGCGCCTCGGAGGCCAGTAGAGCAACTGCACTCTCTAGGGCGCGGCGGCGCCTCCTGGGGAGTGCGATGCTGGGGTCTTGGGGGCGCCACGACCTGGGCGAGCTGGTGCCAGGCCAAGAGCAAGAGAGGGAGTGAGGTTAGGGCACGTGACTCCCACCAAGCCGGTAACCAGGTTTTGTTTTCTTCCCCAGTATACAGAAAGCTGCCTCGGCTCACACCCCGCAGCCCGCGTGGGAGAAGCCCGAGAAGGAGTGCAGTGACGCTGCAGGACCACGGAAAAAAGGGCTCACCGAGGCCCATACTCACACCGGGCTCCCGTCCCGGACCCCGGGCCTGGCCATGGCCGACAGCGCTGGCACTGGCAACTCGGGCCCCTGGTGGAAATCGCTAACCAACAGTAAGAAGAAAAGCAAGGACGCCCCGGTAGGGGTGCAGCCTCCGGCCCAGCCTGTCCCCGGGGAGCCCGCGCCTCCCAGCCCAGACTGGACCAGCAGCTCCCAAGAGAATCAGCACCCCAATGTCCTCGGGGGCCCCGGTGAGTCCCCCAAGTCAGACAAGTCGTGCGGAGAGAAATCAGGCAACAGCCGCCGCAATCTGAAGATCTCGCGTTCTGGCCGCTTTAAGGAGAAGAGAAAAGTGCGCGCCACGCTGCTCCCGGAGGGAGACAGGTCCCCGGAGGAGGTGGATTTCCCTGGTGACTCCTACGAGGACAAGCAGTAGCTTCCAGGACTCCCCTCCTGTCGCTTTCTCTCAACCCCAGTTCTAGCCCATGTACTTGGTATCTCACCCCAACAAATTCAGAACATTCACGTAAGGCCAAGATTTTATTTTTTCTTGAAATTGAAGAGTCAATTGAGTATTCAATATTTTATGACTCCAAGATGCATTAAATATTTATTTGTGATAAGAGAAGGAAGTTGGCTAGATTGTTTTCCTCAAAGAGCTATTCTGGAGCTTCACCCTTGTTCATGTCCCTTGTGGGAGTAACAACAGTGGACAGGTCTTTCTATCAGAGACAGTAGCTGAACTTGAATTCTGCAGCCTCTCAAATGAGGAAGGTGTGCTCTTCTTGAGGACTCAGAAGGGCAAATCACAGTACTGTTTTTAATGTCTCAGAAATGCACTTTAGGGGTACTTCCGTAGACCTAAAAGGGATGAAGAGGGAAACATTCCAGAGTAGAAGCATTTGAAGTGAGGCAGGATTGCTTCCAATTTGGGACTACAAACCTGTATCATCCATTTTAATGTGGACTATTAAAATTGTTACACTGTAAGACTTAAGGTGGCTTTTGTATTTTTTTCCATTCCAAGGCTGAAATTCATCATACTTAAAAGCAGGCATGCAAAGTCTGAGGTGACAAGTGTTAATCATTTGCCAAACAACATAGCAGACGCTATTGGAAAGCCGCAGGGATGTGAACATTTCTAGAAACCAGCAACACCCAGACTGAATCCAGTTAGCTACATATTCCAATTTACTGATCCAATTTGCTACCAATTCATTATTCTTAAATTCTCCTTTTACTTCAGTGCTTTTTCATAGAAAAAGTTGCGATACTAAAATACAACCTTTTCAGTCTACACTGTTAATCTTCCTAACAAATGGCTGAAAGTATAAACAAACAAACTGTGCTCATTCAATTTGTGCAAACCTGCCTTTTCTGCTTCCTTTTGCTTCAAAGGATTATATCTTTAGTCTGAAGTCTGCATTTATCTAGTTTCAAAGCCTTTAGATCAACCAACCTAAAGATTCTTAACAAAAATCCACCTGTTTGCTTTTATTATGACCTTCAAGAAAAAGAGTAAATGATACCACTTTCTCTGAGGAAATTACAAGAGAGTTATTGTAGTCAGTTAAGAGGCACTGAGATCTTTTCCTCACAATTGAGTTCATTTATCAAATCCAGAAATGCATAGCAAGGAAATTACATTGATCAAAGTGTGTATCTTTTTAACAAAGACACGAACTTAATTGGAGCTGTTTAATTTGTATATATGTACAGGGGATTTGGGTTTTGTATCTGTCAAGCTAATAATTTATGAAGTAGCAAAACATGTCAATTGTTTAAATAAAGATGGCTAAAACAAATTTAAATTTATGACTCAAGACTGGGTACCAGCAGAATATTATAGTTAACTATCTGATACTCAAGTTTCCACATACCAAAGGCCTTATTCTAAAGGAAATTGTTTACCTAGGAATTATGAACATCTTACACTAAAAAAGAAAGTATGTGGGAGGTTTTGTTCGTTTGTTTTGCTTTGTTGTGTGCTTTTTGTTTTTAAGCATCAAAAGACTTTTTTGTTGTACATTTAGAACTGTAAGATATGAGACCAAAATCTCATCCAGCTGGGATTCCTGAATATTAATTACAAATGCCCCCACCCCCATCTCTAGATTTAGATGAAGAAGAAAGAGTTGGGAGCTTGGAATGGACAAGAAGTTCATGGTAAAGGAAGGGATTGTGGACTGGGAGTGAATGCAGCAGATGTCAAATAAGGCTCTGGGAAATTTCAAAAGGTATTTTAATGTCACTCTGTAGAAAGCAATCAAAATTAGAGTAGGTCACTACACAAAATGCTCTTTCCCTCCCCAGAAAGACCAAAAGATTAGAACTGTACCCATTTATAAAATTAAATTTACAGTTGAATAATTTTTAAATCTTAGGCTTTTTCATCTACCACTTTATTGTTTTAAAGAAATTTTTTTTCTCCAAAACTTCTCTAAATCTACAAAATATTGGCATTTCTCCAGCTTTCATGTCTAGCTTTGGATCTCATCCAAATCTCCAATTGCTATGGATATCTGATAGTAGACACACAGTAGTGGAACTTCTCAACATGACATCTTTGCCCTACTGTTCTGAGAGAAAATCATACTAATGGTGCTTATGACACTGAATGCAACTCACAATCTACCATTGAGGTTTGTAATTACATCATTTTAAAGCAGTCCTAAATTATGCAGTGGGAAGGGTACACTGATTTAATCCCAACTCAGTGAAATCAGAAACCAGGCAAATTGGTCGATAATAAGATCATGAATAGGATAAGATGATTTGACAAAGTGTCTGTCTGGGATTTGTGTGCTTTACAGACAATTAATTGCATTCCCACGATGCTCACAGATTTTTAAAGCTTTTAAACCTTGAAATAATTTATAGTAAGTAAATGAAAAATGTTGCTGAATTAAATTTGAGTTCATTGGAGAATTTTGTTTTCTTTCAACCCCCTGTAAATGAAATTTCACAAATTTGGAAACCATTAAATGATACTAATACTGCAATTCCAAATGATATGAGAAAAAAAGAGGCAAAAATCTAGTAGTACGTTTGCCAGCCACTCTTATGACTATGTTAATTATACAAACAGTGTAGTTTTTGCCTCAGTGACTCTTCTTGCAAAGTTTGTGGCTGAACAGTGACTCATATTACAGATCACCTGAATGTCCCTTTTGTGTTTATGCTTCTGTTGTTCATCCCACTGGGACCTGCATTTCAAGAGCACAGACTCAATTTTGCATAGATAGGTGTCATGCTCTGGTTCAGCACAAACACCTCACTTGTTTTTTCTTTGAAATATGTGAATTCAACAACTCTGGTCCTGCCAAGTCTTTCTTAGGGAAATGTAAAATAATTGTTTTCCTGAGATGCACAGAAGTATATTTTGGTGACTTGAAATAAATGGTAAAAAAAACAGAAAAATTTTCAAATAAAAGGTAAACTAGGAAGGAATAAATGAGCAGACACTAATATCCAGTGACCATAGGAATCACTTATGGAAACAAAGAAAATACTATTTTTTTCCTACCTAAGAAGTGTCAGCCAGAGCAGGAATCAACACACAAAATGCTAGCTTGATAGAGGAGGTAAAGGAAACTAGCTTTTTGAAGTCTATTTTATTCCTGGAGGATTTTATTATAACTATATAAAATTTAGCAGGTTCTTTCTTGGGGTAAGTTCAAGTTTATCTCAATGGCAAATAGAAAGTAGGACGGAAGGTAGTTTGTCTACTTGGACATTAACAAGTACCGCAGACTAGAAACGAGCATGGAACCCAGAGCGAACTTGGTCAATGAGGCTCAGGGATGTAGAAGAGGTTGGGGGTGATGTGGAGGCCCAGAGGCTTTTCCCAGCTTCTGTTGGCACAGCAAGCATTTTGCCAGCCCCTTCCTCAGGAGATGGCCAGGCAGATTTGGAACATGGGATGCACAGCATTCGTGGTGAGGGAAGATTATCACAGGAGATGGAATGTAAGGAAGCTACACACATCTCACCTTAACAGAGGATAACTGGGTGTTCCTGCAGAAAAGACAGTAGCTACAGACCATGATAACTAAGACAGTGGCAGAATAGAAGCATTTCTTCAAGGTATGCAATGCAAAGAGTTTGGCTAGACTGTGCTGCAGCTGAAATGATGGACTCAAAATGATCATATCAAAGTTGGTGATATACTCTCATACAGTAATAAGATCCGAAAATGGAGTATCTTTATCTCAGTTGTGTGGAACATCGTTGTTTAGCTAAGAGATAAAAATTGTAACCCAAAGCTGGAAAGATTCAGTTTGGAAAAGCTCAAGATCCCTGGCATTGAGCAGATTAACCTCCTAGTTAAGTAGGAAAAAGGCTTCCCTGTGCCTTTTCCGAAGGGATTTCCCTTGAGTTACAAGTGTCCTGGATTATGGGGTATTTTTAGTGCTTCATCAATAAGTACACCTCTTGGTTCATACCCTCCAAAGACAAAAGCAGAAAGCTCCTTCACTTTCCCATGACACTGGTCCTGGTCCCTTCTCTGACTCACTGTTGAAGAAGTTTTGGTGGCCTGGATATCCCAGCTGTAAAACTCTCTTTTAGTATTCTGCTATTTTAAGAACTGGTTGTGAAAGTAAACTCATATAATGTTCATTGTTTACTTTAAAACAGAAGGTACTAGCTTCTGTCCAGTCCTGTTTGTTAGGTGGGGAGATGGGAGGGAAGGCTGAGAAGTACACATTGTGATACGGGTGCTCCCACTACAATGTTGTCATTTGATGCAACAATTGGGGTTATCTCAATTAAAACATTTTCATGTTGGTGATCCCAACATAAAAATATTGGTCATGTTCAGAATCAAAATGCTGAAATGATTTGTTATAGTTTATTAGTATTGAAAATATGGGCTTTAAAGCTGAAAAAGTATAGCTCAGTGATACAGCAAGTGTTTAGCATATGGGAGGCCCTAGGTTTGGGTCTCAGCCCTGCAAAATAAAAAAATAGTATGCTCCCATATCTGTTATTTCATTTGTTCTTATAACTTGGTCTCAAAGGTTTCAAAATCCTGATAAACTCAAGTTTTCTGTCACCACTGATGTGGTCCTAGGTCAGGAATGCATTCCCTCCAGGTACGGAGGCCTGAAGACAATCATTGTTAATTCTTCTAAATCCCTGCAAGATAAAGCCAAACCTTCACAGTGGCTGCCTCCCGTGTCCAGTCATTCCCTATGATTGATGGTTCCGAGAGTGTGGTTGTTGTGTCCTGGCATATCTGCAGACTTCTGTCCATCCTGTTGCTTCTGTGTGGCGTATTATTTTCCCACCGCCTACCTGGCAAACAATCAATTTTCAAAACTCTTCCCATTTGCCCCAGTTTGGGTTTTGGGTGTCTCCCAAAGGCTCGTGTGTTAAAGGCCTGCTCCTCAGCCTGTAGTGCTACTGGGAAGTGGTGAACATTTAAGGAGGCGGGGCCTACTGAAAGGAAGTTAGGGCCCTGGGGAGCATAGCCCTTAAGGGAATATTTGGAACCCTTGTTTTTCTGTTTGCTTCCTGGCCACCACAAAGTGAGTAGCCTCCTTCATCACACACTCTCCACCATGATGTGCTGCCTCAGCACAGGCCCTAAAGCAACAGGGTCAAGAGACCATGGACTGAAATCCTGATACTGTGATCCCAAAACCCCTTTCTTGCATATAAGTTGATTATTTCTGGTATTTTGTCTTAATGACAGAAAGCTAACTAATACCCCATTAATTGGCATGGATCTTCCTCCCTCAAGCATGGCTGATTGGTTTATTGGGACATATCTATGTACACTGGAGCCTGTATTACCCAGCACTGCAGACCATATCATATGGCTATGATCCCAGGTCTCTGCCCTTTTAGTTGTGGAGCTCAGGGAGGCCCAAGAGACAGCACTCATTCTTTATGTAACTTTATGAATTTCTGGTTAATCTGCAAGGAAATGGACTCTTCAGCTAGTAGCACTTAGTAGAGTCACAACATTTTTCCCTCTGGAGAAACAGGCTG